ATGCAGAGCGAGTGCCAGAAGAGGCTCCAAAGCGAAACAGAGAAATCCTGTTGAAAGAAAAAAAAAAAAAAGAGAGAGACCTTTTTGCCAGAAAAAAAACCACATATGCACAAAATAATGGCATAAATTCATAGGCTCCAATGACCTTCTGTGTAATGCAGGTTATAAGAATGTTCTTGTAACTCTGCAATTCTGTTTTCCCATGGCATATTAAAACATAGTCTACAAGGCAGGGATGGTGGTACATGCCTCTAATCCCAACTCTAGGGATGTAGAAGCAGGTAGATCCCTTTGAGTTTGAGGACAGTTTGGTCTACATAGAGAGTTCCAACCAGTGCTACATTGTCTCAAAATATAAGCAAATAGCGCTGGATAGATGGCTCAGTAGTTAAGAGCACTGGCTGCTCTTCCAGAGGACCCAAGTTTGATTTCCAGCACCCACAACGGTGACTCACAACCATCTCTAACTCCAGTTCCAGGGGATCAGATGCCCTCTTTTGGCTCCTGTGGACACCAGACATGCAGATGATGCACAGACATATAGCAGACAAGACACTCATACACATAAAATAAACCTTGAATAGAACAAAATGCCTGGGTAGAGAGGTAGGAGAGATAGGTAAACACATAGGAAAGATAAAGTAACCAGCTAGACATGGAGGTGAACATCTGTAATTCTAGAATTTGAGAGGTTAAGGCAGACAGATTGTAAGTTCAAGACCAGTCTGGGATACAGGGAATCCTTGTATGAACAATAAAATTAAGGAGTAAATTAAGGAATGGCAAACTAAAGAAATTCCATCAGAGGGTCAGGATGGGAGAGGTACAGTGATGCTGGGCCATGTCTCCAGAATTTGATTTTATTTTCAGACCATGAAGCTGGGGGTTCCATCCCCATGGCTTTCTTCTCTCTGTGGCTCTTTCACTACTCCTCCCCCATTAGGCAGCCGTTCTGGAAACTCTGAAACTTTCTTTCTTCCAGATGGGGATCTCTGGCAGAAAGGATGTCCTGGCCTGTATGCAATGACTCCACTCCCTCTGCCAAAGGATAGCGCTAAAATTGACTTTCCTGGAAACCAGTTAATATCTTTAGGAAGTGTGGCCTTAGTTTAGAGGTAACTGGAACCTCTAAATAATGGAAAGGTAAGAAAATAAATCTCAAGCCTGACATAGTGATAAATGCCTTTAGTCTCAGCACTTGGGAAGCAGAGCAGGTGGATCTCTGAGTTCAAGGTCAGTCTGGTCTCCAGAGTGAGTTCCAAGGCAAGCCAGGGCCACACAGAAAAAAACAAATAAACAAAAACCTGTGAAGCAAAACAAAATAAGACAAAATGCGTTGGTGGCACATGCCTTTAATCCCAGCACTCAAAGGGAGGCAGAGGCAGGTGGATCTCTGTGAGTTTGAGACCAGCCTGGTCTACAAGAGCTAGTTCCACAGCCACAGAGAAACCCTCTCTCAGAAAAAAAAAAACCAAAAAAAAAAAAAAAAAAAGAATGAAAATAAGAGAGAAAATAATCCCTAGCAGTCCTAGTACAGGGACTCACAAGAATGCAATCTGCCGTCTCTTAAGATGTCACCTCAGGATGGCAGACCCTACACCAGTCTTCCCGGAATCTTAGATGACTCCAAGTGTATTGGTCACCTGTCTAGACGGCAGCACATGCCTATCTCACATTTTGCACAGGACAAATATCGAAATGGACAAACTAAGTCAGGAAGCAAAAGACAATTGATTTTCTATCAAATCCACAGAATTTAATTTGGCAACATAAGAAAGAACAATATTATAAAGTCCAGAAATCCCAGAATATCACTGTGGTCCATGAGTAACTCGGAGGAGGGAAAGAATGGAATTTAGGGTTGGGTTGGGAAACCTGAGTTATGTCCCTAGATAGGGCCCTGAGTCACGGTGTTACTTCCTGGTCCCATGTTCCCCTCCCCCTTCTCCTGCACAATTCCTTTTATTTATTTATTTTTGGATAAAGTTAAGCACAATTGTTTCAGTTATTTAAAAAAATCTGGAAAATATCAAGTGCATAAAATCTCAAGATAGGAGCTGGGCGTTGGTGGCGCATGCCTTTAATCCCAGCACTCGGGAGGCAGAGGCAGGCGGATTGCTGTGAGTTCGAGTCCAGCCTGGTCTCCAGAGCGAGTACCAGGATAGGCTCCAAAGCTACACAGAGAAACCCTGTCTCGAAAAACAAAACAAACAAAAAACCTCAAGATAGGAATGAATAAATGAGTAGGTGGTCTGTCTCCTCTTTGGAGTTGCTGTTTGAGATGACACGGCCATGTGGCTAACACAGAACCCTGGAAGGATAAGTCTAGAGGTAACTGAGAAGCACCCGGCTAGAACAGAGGATGAGTCAAGGCTCTAGGACTCTATACCAATTTCTCCCACTCCTGCCAGGAAAATTCTGGGGTGAGACAGTGATGACAGGAGCCAAGGGGCGGGCCTGTCAGCTGCCTACCCTGCGGCCTCTGCCTTGTGGTTTCACCCTGGGTTGCCCTGCAGCTGTAACGTGTCTCCTGACACGCAGTACTGAACACTCTGTCCCTCCCCCTTTTTTCAGACCTTCACTTGTCTAGGAATCTCCAGAAGTGAATGTCAGAGAGGTGAGGTGAGAAGGGAAAGGCAGAGCTGGGCAGGAATGTGGCAGTTGGGTAAACACAAGGCAGAAGAAAAGGAGGTTTTCATGGAGGCATGAGTAGGAAATAGAAATGTAATTCACCTCCCTGAAAACCAAGATAAATGACAGAGGAGCAGCATGGTTAGGATGCTGTGGCGATCGATGAGCTGGAACTGAGGGACTAGGCCGAGCAGCCAGCAGCATCAGCCTCAAAACTGTAAGCCTGAAGACTCAGATGGCTAGAGGGACTCTGGGCTCCTGCAAATCCATCTATTATAACACCAAGATTCCCCATCTGCATTAGGTTTCAAAATTCTCCTCTGGCACTTAAATAACCCCAGTCATTTGCATTATACCAATCATACAATCCATATGCTATCACTCAGTGAAGTCAGTTTTGCAACCCCCATTTCACCAAAGGGTATGGGGCCACCGCAGGTTTAAGCAATTTGCTCAGAGAATTTGGAAATCATACAAGTTCTGTATCAGTTGCCAGAAAACCCCATAGATTCCACCATACTAAGCTGCCTTTGAGCTGCGATCAAATCAACTTAAAATGATGTCAAAATAATGGAGGCTTTTTAAGACTATTTTTTTAAGCTCAGTAAAGAGCAGACAAGGTGATGAGCACTAAATAGATAGCTCTGTACTTCACAACCAAGAAGAGATTTAAAAGTCCCGAATTGCACAGAACTTGGGATCTGAGATCCCAGTGCAGCCCTGGTACCCTCTAGTGGAAGTTTCCTGCATTAGCACACATCCAGCTACTGGAGAGCATCTGAAAATAAAAGAATGCCGTGTTGGGGAAAGCATGTTTGGATGTTGGAAGTATAGGGTGTGGAGGATGGGGTACAGGCTAGAGGAAATGTGTGCCAAACACCAGATTCACAAGAGGCCCACAAAAGAGTCATGCTGGTACATGATCCGGGGATCCAGTCTTTGTGTGTTATAAATAGGGAGGAGATCACTTAGGAATCTGGGCTTTTAGGATGCATGAGAGAGACTTTCTTCCCCTTTTACTAAGGACAAGTTTGTGATCAGAGACGTAAAGTGACTCGTGTAAGGCCACAAAACAAATGGAAGCCAGCACCAGTGGGGCCATGTTTCCTTTGTCCTTAGAGACCTTTCTCACCGTGTCACACTTATTTATTGACCGGTTGACTTTACTCATAACTTGAGCATATAAAGTTATGAAACTTGGAGATACAAGCAGGGACAGTTCTTACCTTCATCTGCACACAAGCCATGAACTTCCCACTCTTTCATTCAGTGCCTATTATTGCCAAACCCCAGTTTAGGCTTTGCCTTTCCAGCCTGTGGACGCTGGGAATGGAGAGAGCTCCCAGGTTCGTGGAATGCCTACTGCCGCAAAGGCACATCTGGAGTTTCCTCCTCACATTCTCAAGCACGAAGGCGCTGAGATTTATTTCTCTTTCCCTCTCCCTCCCCCTCCCCCTAGAAGTAATCCCTGAGAATAGAAGTGGGTTAGAAACAGATTACTCTGATCCAAAGGCTCTGCCCTCTCCTCCCTAAACACTGTGTGTGTGGGGTGGGGTGGAGAAGGTAGGGAGTCACAAATAGCCTGAAATTCCCTTTTAGGATTACTGCTTGATTTAGCCAGCTGGGAGAAAGTGGAGCAAGGGATTAATTCTAGACCTCACTCTCTCCAGCAGCAGGATTCTGGGGCTGGCTTCTTTCCTGGCTGAGCCAGGATGAATAATATCTCTCCCTAAACATGCCTTCAGAATGAGGGATCTAGGGCAAGCACAAAGGCAAAGGCTCCAGTCTTCAGCAGCAGAGGAAAGTGGAATGATAGATGAGAAATAGAGGCAGCCCTGAGAAGAGTTTTGTAGTGCTACATAAGGAACCACTCTGGGCCATGGAAACTTCCTGTGTTTCTGCGGTTTAGCTTCAGCAGAGATGAGAACTGCCATGTTAGAGCTCCCTGAGGAGGCAGCTCCTGTCTCCTGGAGATTTGCTGTTTAGGGGCACTCACTGGGGTGATCTCTAGGGCAGGGTGTCCCTCTTCTGTGTCCAGCATAAGAGGCAGCTACACTTGGCATCCTACTTGGCTCCCCATACAGATCCTTTTCTAGGATATCAGCAGGCTGGAGCCCTAATTAACCAGAGAGGAACTCATCTGATTTTAATGAATTAATAATTCTGTAATTTAAGTATCAGATTACTACCTTTGTATAGATGACAATCTGGGGTGGCCAAGAAGCTGCATCAAGCACTATCAAATTCCTAAGCTCTTGTGAGAGTCACAGGGAGTTGCCCTGGGTGACAAAGCAACACTGCTAATGTTGTTAACTAAAATTAGTTGAGAGTCTTTGCTAGGAGTCACCATTCTTGTTTCCTCTGTTTCACCTGGCCTTGGCCAAGTCACTTCTCCCTTCTCTGTGCTCTCACCTTAAGTTAGAGAAGCACAATGTAAACGCTTGTCAAGCCAATTATTACTTGTAATAATCCATGTATCATCCTTGTGTTTAGAATCAGATTCTCCCAATTCTTCAGAAAAAATGTTCCTGTTCAAATCAGTTGTTCTCTTCTTGATGTAGGTCACTCAGAGAATTTCAGAACTTCCAATCTTTAAAAACCAAAGCTGGGGCCAGGCGTTGGTGGTGCACACCTTTAATTCCAGCACTTGGGAGGTAGAGGTAGGTGGATCTCTGAGTTGGAGGCCAGCGTGGATGGTCAGGGCTTCACCGAGAAACCCTGGAGTTATGATGTTGGTGAGACACCATGTGCGGTGCTGAGAACATGGGTCATTATGTAAGAGAAGCCAGTGCTCCTAATCAGGGTGCAGCTTTTTTATGGGTTCAGGGGATTCAAACTCAGGTCCCCATATTTGCAGTAATATGATGACCCATTTCTTCAGCCCATATCACAGTGATCTGCCTGCCTCTGCCTCCCAAGTGCTGGGATTAAAGGCATGCGCCACCAACGCCTGGCAAGACAGGGTCTTATATAACCCAAATCACTATGTAGCCAGGATGACCTTAAATTTCTGATCTCCCTGATGTCACTTACTAAGTGCTGGGACTATAGGCATGTGCTTACCACATCTGGTTTATGCAGTGCTGGGGATAGGACCTGAGGCCTACGTCCTGCTCCACTGGAACACCTATACCTCTAGCCCAGAGGTTTCTTACTTTCTTTCTTTCTTTCTTTCTTTCTTTCTTTCTTTCTTTCTTTCTTTCTAAAATAAGATTTACTTATGTTATGTATGAGTGCTGTATCTGCATGTACACCTTTATGCCAGAAGAGGGCATCAGATCCCACTATAGATGGTTGTGAGCCTCCATGTGGTTACTGTGAATTGAACTCAGGTCATCTGGAAGAGCATCCAGTGCTCTTAATTGCTGAGCCATCTCTCCAGCTGCCCAAAGGCTTCCTTTTTAATTTTTTTTTTCGAGACAGGGTTTCCCTGTGTAGCTTTGGAGCCTATCCTGGCATTCGCTCTGGAGACCAGGCTGGCCTTGGTCTCCTGATCCGCCTGCCTCTGCCTCCCAAGTGCTGGGATTAAAGGCGTGCGCCACCAACGCCCGGCCCTTTTTTAAAATTATTTCTAATTATGTGTATATGTGTACACACGTTAGTATGCATATGTGTGTGGGGGTGCCTTCAGAGAACAGCGGGGTTGTGTCCCCCTTGAGATAGTTGCAGGCAGTTGCATGCCTCCCGATATGGGTTCTGTGAATCAAACTCAGGTCCTCCACAAGAGCAGTACATGCTCTTGACCACTGAGCTGTATCTCCAGCTCCTATAAGTTTCAATCTTGATGTTATCTGCCACTGGGAGGGCAAAACACACATATAAATGTCCTGCCACTAACAAGGAGTCCTATTCGCTTTAGGCTTGTGGTAATTTGAAGGCAATTGGCCCCCATAAGCACATAGGGAGAGGCACTATTAGGAGGTGTGGCTTTGTTGGAGTAGGTATGGCCTTGTTGGAGGAAGTGTTTAATTGTGGGGTGGGTGTTGAGGTCTCACATATGCTCAGGCTATGTCTAGTATCCCAGACCACTCTCAGCTACCTCTCCAGCACCATATCTGCTGACATGCCATCATGTCCCACCATGATGATAATGGACTGAACCTCTGAACCAAAAGCCACCCAATGAAGTTTTGCTCTATAGAGATGCTGTGGTTATGGTCATGGTATCTCTTCACCGCAATAATTAAGGCAAGGCCCCTTTTTTTAAGTTTCACTAGTACAAAAATGGATTCCAGGAACACCTTGTGTGTTGACAGAAACGGGGAAAACACTTCTGCCTCATAGTGTTTCCTTTTCACTGTTGTTGAAGAGATTTATTTTATTTTTATGTAGATAAGTGCCTGTCTAAACGTTTTCTATGTGCACCACCACATGTAGTGCCCTCAGGAGCCACAAGAGGGCAACAGATTCCCTTGGGATTGGAATTATAGGGAGTTATGAGACCCATGTGGGTGCTGGGAACTGAACTTAGGTCCTCTGAAAGAACAGCAAAGGCTCTTAACCTCTGAGCCATCTTTTTAGCCTCTATTTTCTTTTCTCTTTCTTTTTTGGGCAAATGACAGACTTGATTTATCAGCTTTTTAAAACCAAAACTTAATGGTACCTGTTTATTTGTTTTGCTTTACTTATTTATATATTTATTGTGGGAGGGAGTTGTGAGACAGGGCTTCTGTGTTTCCCTGGCTGTCCTGGAACTTACTCTGGAAACCAGGCTGGTCTCAAGCTCAGAGATCTGCCTTCCTCTGCCTCTCGTGTGCTGGAATCAAAGGTGTGCACCACCACTGCCTGGTCCAACAGTATATATTTAAACAGTTATAAAACTCGTGAAGTTAAAAAAAAAAAAAAACTGGTGGCGCACGCCTTTAATCCCAGCACTCGGGAGGCAGAGGCAGGCGGATCTCTGTGAGTTTGAGGTCAGCCTGTGTCAGGAGCCAGCCCTGGTTAGATATAAAAGTCCCCTTTAAGAGGCTTGGTGACCTCCATGCTAAACCACCAATTAGTCAAGCACCCCACCCCTTAGGTTAGTGTTCCAGATAACCACAGGAGGTTATCTGACCTGAGAGCAATTAACACCCATTCCTCCCCCACTTCTCCTTTCTTTACTTCCTCCTTTCTCTTTAAAAACCCCTTGTTTATAATCAATAAACAGACCCTGACAAGAAAACTGCTTGGTGATTTTCTTTCCCTGCCCATTATTTTCAGGCTTAGTCCATCTTGGACCCATGAAACCGGAGCCCCACAGGCTGGGGCAAGCGTGGTCTTCAGACCAGAGTGCCAGGATAGGCTCCAAAGCCACAGAGAAACCCTGTCTCAAAAAACCAAATAAATAAATAATAAGCAAGAGTATAACAATATTCTGTAGTAATCAATAGCCACTCCTCCATAGAGATTTTCTCTTTATCGGGTGTACCAAATTAAAAAATAAATCATCATGTTTTATTTTATAATGCATAGGATTCTGTTAAGGAGTGTGAGACATCTATGGCCAGGCACAATGGAGCACACTTTTAATCTCAGCACTGATCAGGCAGAAGCAGGGGCGATCTCCGTGAGTTTGAGATCAGCCTGGTGTGGAGAGTTTCAGACCAGCCAGAGCTACACAGTGAGACTCTTTCTCAAAAACAAAACAAAACACCAATAATAATAATAATAGTAAGTAAAAGAACCTGGCAGTGGTGGTGCATACCTTTAATTCCAGTACTTGGGAGGCAGAGAGAGGTGAATCTCTGAGTTCCAGGACAGCCTGGTCTACAATGAATTCCAGGAGAACCAAGGCAACACAGAGAAACCCTGCCTCAAAAAAACAAAACAAAACAAAAGAACCCAAAAGGTAAAAGAAATAATGAAATAATAGATATCTGCCATTTAAATGCTTATTAATATATATTATTTAGCTAACATACATATAGTACCTAGTTTCATTTCACTATTAGTGTATCATAGTAGAGGTTCAGTGCTAAGGCTAAAAATTTGGGGAAATTCTTACCCCTGAAGGCATTTCAAGTTCCAGGACAGCCAGGGTACCACAGAGAAACCTTGTCTCGAAATACACAAACAACAATAGAAAAGTTTCAAAGGGTGATCATGGTGTGGTTACACCTGTAATCCCAGCATTTGAGAGATAGAAACAGGAAGATGAGATGTGGTTCACAGTCATCCTCAGCTACATAATGAGTTAAAGAAAATTCCTAGAGTTAGTAGTTATGATCTGAAATAGTACCTATGATTTCCAAGGTATATGGAATTTCTCAATCCCTCTGCTAATAGCCCTTAGCACGTTAAGCTGTCAGCAAGTCTACTTTAACTTGAAAGTTCGTATATGCACAGACCATAACTCCTAATCTATAGCAAAATGTTGCAAGCAAATGCTCAATTGACAGTAATCTACAGAATATGAGATTAAAAATATGGATAGTATTTGCTCTTCAGAACTCTTTATGGTACTGGATGTTC